CACCTTTATTTCCCCTGAAGTTCAGGCTGGTTTCTGGCTGTGAGGCTGATACCAGACCCGTGCAGCCTGCAGCCATCAGTGTATCTCCCGTGGCCATGGACTCAGTTGGGAGCCACTAGGGGGCCCAGCAGCTTTTCTGATTCTGAGCTCAGCCAGCCCCTCTCCAAGATGGTTCCCGGCCAGTCACTCTCTCCCAAAGGATGACCAAGCGCTCAGCACTCACCCCCAGCTAGTGCAGTCCTTCATGTCCACTGCTCCCCTCCACTGCTGCATCTCTCTGTGGAGGCCACTGGGGTTACTGTATCTGTAGGTTTGAACCGCTCCTCTCATGCAGTGAGTTGAGACTCAGGGAGAAGGCTCCACTGGCTACCTCTTTTTCATTGAAGTTTCTTTCTTTGCTCTCCCTGTGGGCTTAGTTCTTTCTTTTGATTCTTCCTGGTTCCAGGGGACCCACTTCCCTCCATCTTGTCTTCCTTGTGTTGCTATATTTCAGTGTCTGGATGGCGATTTTCAGAGAGGTTCTTTCACTGCTGCTTACCACTCCACCATCTTCCCGGAAGTTCTTGTTTTGTTTTTTGAGACAGAGTCTCCCTATATAGTTCAGGATGGCCCTGAACTTACTATGTAGCCCTGAATTTACTAGGTAGCCCCAGGTGGCCTCAGACTTGAGGTAATATTCTTGCCTCATCCTCCTGAGTGCTGGGATTACAGGCACCATCACACTTGGTTTACAATGACTCTTTGAGGTGAATAATATATTTCGTACCCAATTTGAAAGATGAGAAAGCTAGGCAAGGTGTGGTGGTACATGCCTGTAATATCAGCATTCTGGGAGGCTGAGGCAGGAGGATCACAAGCTCTAGACCAGTCTGGACAACTTAGCGATTTAGTAAAACCTTGCCTTAAAATAAAAAATAAAAGGTCTGAGGATGTAGCTCAGTGCAAAGGCCTTGGGTTCAATTTCTAGACACCCCCCAAAAAAGACAAAACAGGTGACAGAGATTAGGCACCTGCTGGGTCACAGTGTGGATATATCAAGATAACAAGACAGATGTAATAGAACAACAAATGTCTACTACTTAGGAAAATACACACATCCACACTTGCTCTCTGTACTTTTTGCTCATTAATTTTATTTCCTAATGCTCCTGTCTTGTCATTTAGTAAATCTCTTGACAATTACATTTTTTTGTGCGCTTGTATTAGGAGGAATGGGATTTCATCCACATTTAGGCCAATGCCGTGAAGGAAGGATGTGTGCTCTTGAGACTGTTGTTGTGGGGCAGCAGTAATCAAAATTAAGGAATCAAGGGGCCGGGGATTTAGCTCAGTGGACAGCGCCTGCCTGGCAAGCGCGAGGTTGTGAGTTTGATTCCCAGTACCAAAAAGAAAAAATTAAAGAATCAAGGTACGGAGTTGTCTGGCACCATAAAGGAATTCTCTTGTGTTACTCCTTTGTAATTATTATTCCTTCCCTGTTTCTTCTGGCAACCACCGGTCTAGTATTTTCTGTCTCTCTAATTTTGTCGTTTTGGAAAATATTGCATAAATGTAATCCCACAGCATGTGGGCTTTTCTCACTCAGCATAGTGCCCTGAAGCTCCGCCTAACTGTTGCATTTATCAATACTTTGTTCCTTCTTATTGCTGAGTACTATTCCTAACAATAAACTTTCAAATACGAAGCAGTTCATGTAACTCTCTACCTAAGGCACTTCAGAGGTGCCTAGAATGAAACAAGCAATCCTGAGCACGGCCTGAAAGTCTCATCAGGACTGCCCCTGGCCTGCCTAGATGATGACATTCCTTCCTATTTTCCTTTCTCTTGCTGCTATCCGTATACACTGACCTTCCAGTTTGAGAATTTTAGACACAGGAGAAATGGGCCAGGTGCTGATACTGTTCCCTGGTTAATTAATATACCACTGCATTCTTTCAACTGTTCAGGGGAGGAAATAAACTGTACCAGTTTCCCAAAGTTTGCATGATCCCCCTTTGTCCTCCAGCCTTGCTTCTAATCTCTTCCTCCTCTTCTACTTCTCTATTTTTTTCCTAACCCCTTTCCTCCCCTGAAGCATTCTTTCCATTTTTATGCCTTATTTTACAGCATTATGCCCTTTCATCCATCCTGTTTAAATCTCTCTTCCTTAACATGGTGCTCAAATTCAGAGATTGACTATCAGCTTTAATATTTAAGTTGTCAGGTCAAACCTTGGTGAACTATGAAGAATTAATGAAAAAAATTAACTTTATAATTACTTTAACTCCCTCATCCCATGCAGGAATGCATATGCTTGGATCACCAAATATAATATATAATATATTATATATATATATATATATACATATATATATATTTTTTTAGGCAGGGTCCCATTTTGTAGTTCAGGCTGGCCTTGAGCTTATTATGTAGCCCAAGATGGCCTTGAACTCATGGTGATCCTCCTACCTCAGCCTCCAGAGTGCTGGGGTTACAGGTGTGTGCCACCACACCCAGCTATATATGTTCATTTGATCAATGTGGTTATGTGACTACCTCCCATCTTGTGAGCCAGATGAAGAAAGAAGGGAGGAGGAGAAGGACGAAGATTTATAGTTTGCAGTGCTAATATACTAGTAGGTAATTTACACGAATTATGCCATATAACTCTCAACAACCTTGGAAGATAGATGTCATCATCACTACTTTCTGGATGGGAAAACGGAAACTCAGAAACTGAAAATACCTTATAGAAAGTGAGAATGAGTGTTAGAAGGGGGATTTGAATAAAGCTGAACTTGAAAGCTCTCTTTCTTACCACTACACGGTAGGAAGCTGTGGGCAGGATCAGGGTAAGTATAGACAATGAAGCTGCCCTGAGACAGGTAGGAAGATTCAGGAGAAGAAAGCCCCTGGATTTTGAGAGCCTGTGTCAGAAAATAGTGAGGTGAGATAAGTGATTGTGGGATGGCTCCTTGGCCTGCCCCTTCTGTGGGTGTGACTCACTTCCTGCTGCTCTTTGCTGCCCTCAGGAGAGCTGCAAGTCTCCTGACCCCTAGAGTAGGAAGAAAAGGAATGCCAAGGTCAGGTGTCATGACTGGGTGCTCTGTGAATCACCCACCAAACCACAAGTAGAACTTCACAACCCTGACTGTTACAGCACCAAATCTGGGTGACGCCACCTTCTGCAGCTCCTAGACTACACAGAACCTGCTGACCTGCTCCCGGAGGAGGGAGGCTCCTCTTGACTCCTGGCTACACAGAGTGAGGTGGTGAGCGGTTCCCACAGGGCCTCCTTTCCATGGTCCCAGGCCTTTGTTATTGTTTACCTGAGTGTGGTGTGTGCGCAGGACCTTTTCTGGGGCACACCCCACATGACACAGCACTGAGGCAGAGGGCAGTTGAGTGGATTTCCTGCTTGTGAAATCTGTCCATCTGTGTCTCTGCCTGCTTGGGCTGGGGCTCCTTTATCAGAGCGAGAAAGCGTGAGTGTGTATGTGTGTGTGTGTGTTCCTACAATCTTGTGTAGACTGTCCACCTGTTTTTCTCAGCTTGGGCCCTCCTCTCTGCCAGAGGGCAGTGCGCCAGAACAGGCTGGAAGATTGGTCAGAAAACAAAACAGATCTCCTCACTTATGGGGAAATCTGCCAGGGGAGCTTTAAAGAACCGAAAGTGCCCCTAGAAGGAAAAGCCTAGGATGAATCCCAACGAGGGAGCGCGGCCATGGAAATCCTTGGCAATGCGATGTGGCTGAGAGCAGTGGCAAGAAGAGCTTGAATGACAGAAGAAGTCGTTCAAGGCCCGGGCAGCTCCTAGAGGTCTCGCTGGTGTGCTGATCAGGTAGGAAAGGGAGACTGCAGGACGAGAGCGGGGATGAGAGGCACTGTGTATACAGCAGGTGTGGGTGTGGGTGTTTGGCTTTCCCTCTTTTTCGTAGCCCTTGTTCTGCGCTGAGGAAACTGGAGCCTGAGGAGACTGTTTTTATTTAGGGATCCAGGAAGAGAATATAATCAACAGAAGAATATCTAATTTAAGATACATTATTCCTGGGCTTTTGAGATGGGAAGGTTCTAGAAGTGGTAACATAAAAAAAATAGAATAATTGTAATATGAATAAAACATTTTGAATTTGTATAACACCTCTGAGGAAATAAGATATGTCTACTTGTGTCATCATATTTAAAATCTGATGCAGTTTGGGTATGAGTGCTGGTGAGTGTTGGTGTCATCTTACCTAGAAGTTACCTAGCCTATCTGTCTTGCAATCACTTTGTTCCTGTACAAAGTAAACTTTCATGAGGTGCCAGGATAGAAATTAGGCTTTCTCAGCTAGACCGTGTATCACATGTGCTTCAGGAATTCCTAGACAGGTGAAAACCAGAAGCAAGGAGAGCCGATAATGCTCAGCCTTATTGTTGCTCTTGGAAATCCTGGGCAGCGCAGTAGAACCTCTTTCCCCAGAGTTTCAGGGTTCACTTCATGCCCTGGGTCTCCCAGAAGGTTGGAGAGGGTGAAAATTGGAACCAGTACAGTCCCTTAGTGCCTGAGCAAGGCAGGAGAACCGAAGCACTTCCTCTGCTCCCAGCCTCATCCCGCTGGGAGACACCCTGCGCACAAGGCAAGCTGCCCGCACCAGTCTGCTGCGGTGGACTTAGGAAGGCTCCTCATCAGTGTGCTCTCCTGTTCTCTCTCTGTCCCCTCATGAGCTTCTTTCGATAGCAAGGCAGCACTGGGTGCCTGACAGAGCCAGGCTGGGGCAGGGGGGTCTGTGCTCTGTCCTCTGGTATTTCAGGATCTTTCCTAGCTCTTGGGATTGCAGTAAAGGATTGCTAGTCTTAGGGACTGGGCTTCTTCACTCAAAAAACAGAAGAGAGAAACACAAGAAAATAAATCCAAGATTCCATAATTATTGAAAATAATTCTGGTTCTACCGCATTTTCAAAATATACTTTAAAGATGGAGACGGGAATATACTCTGTGTCCCTATGAGGACATTAAATAACACACAAGGGACATTTTATGTTCTTTCCAAATTATAGTGTATTAGTTGGTAACTTTTAGTTTCAATGACTTTTGATACTTCTTTTGTCTGTTTTTGCAAAGCTGGGGATTGAACCGAGGGCCTTGTACATGCCAGGCAAGCACTTTGCCACTGAGCTATATATATCCTCAGCTCCATGACTCTGGATTCTGACGTGGCTCCTTCTTGACACTGTTGGTGTTGTTCATTTGAATGACAAATACGTATGTCTAATAGTGTCAGCGACATTTGGTTTGTAGTAAAAGACCTGACCTGGGTGTAAAATGCTGTCCATCTATGCGCCTTGTTTTATTTTTTTTCACACAGCTACTTCATAACCCAATCCCTCATCACCCAGTTCCTCATTTTCTGCCTTTCCTCCTTTGCCTGGAAGGGCCTGCTACAATCTCTGGCATAGTGTAGTTGTTTAATAAAAGTTTATGAGACCTAAAAAGAGGAAGGACAGCTTGTTTTATAGGATATTAGAGATATTTCTGGAGTCCCCTAGATCTGAGTGGCTCTTCTCAATATTGCTACTGATTTAATATGTTCAGACCAATCAGTGAGGTGTATTTCTAGACAGACTGGAAGTAAAGAAGAGAGCGGGAGGAGAAGAGAAGGCTGAGGTGCAGCAAGACAGACTTTCTCCTTCTGGGGGCTCCCCCTGCCACTGTCTTACCCTCCCGACTGTAGGTCTTTGAGTTCTGTATCCCAGAGCCCAGGACCCTTGGTGACTCCCTTGACCCAGGGTGGCGTCCAGCCGCGAGGGTGGGGCTCTTCTCTGTGTCTATAAAGAACATGGCCAGGAGGGACATGCAGTGAGAAGCAGACTGTGAGGCTGATGGGAAGGGTGGTGGGACAGATTAAATCCTCTTCCCTGGAACAGGGCCACATGTTTTTCTGACGTCAGTTGGGAAATTTTTAACACTACAGAAGCAGGCAAGAGAAGTCTAGGAAGAGGAACTGGATTTTTTTGTTGTTGTTGTTTGGTTGTTTTTTTGTATTTTTGAAATTGCTGTATAGTTCAGGCTTCCCCTGAACTCACTATATCGCCCAGGCTGGCCTCAAACTTGCAGCAATCCTCTTGCCTCAGCCTCCCAGTGCTGGGCCTACAGGCATGCGCTACCACACCTGGCAAGGAGCTGGATTTTTAAAGTCTTTTTTTATTTTATGGAAAAAATAAAACAAAATTTCATAATAAAATAATAGGAGAATAATAATAGTTAATACATTGCATATTGTTATCTTCAAAGTAGTTACTCAGAGTACAAATATGGGCATAAAAAATTCTCCAAACAATATTAGCACAAACCTTTCTTTTCAATGAACTAAGGGAAACTAGTAGTATAACTATCTTGTAATTTTTCCCTTTTCCCTTCTTTCTTTTCCCCCTTCCCCCACCCTAGTTCCTTTTTCCTTTCAAACAATTTCTTCCCATTTCACAATATCTATTGACTATTTTGGTCCTTATTCACTCTTTCAGTTTCTCATACCAGGAAGACAGTATGATGTTTACACATGTGAGTCTGACTTATTTCACTTATGAGTATGGTCTAAGAATGGCTGTCATTTATAAGTCCCTGCTTGGGTGCCAAGTATCGGGTTAAGAACCTTTAGTTATTGCAGGCTGATCAGGCCTACAATCTCCCAAATGAGTGGATGGTGAAGGCTTAGATAAATGAGACAGTTGAAATGAATTTAGGGCTCCAGGGAGGGTTCAGCCCTCTCACAGAATTCAAGATTCTCTGGGTTAAGACCAAGACCTTACCTGGGTGGCCCATATTTATTTGGTTTTCAAACAAAGGAGGGAGATACTGAAGAAAATGCAAAAATCTGGGCAGGACTTAAAAATCTCTCTAAGGACTTCCCCAAGTAATACTTTATTTTAATTTAAAAAAAACTATGTTATCTCCAGAAAGACCTTCACCACAAGAGTGAGATGGCTAGAGTCTCCTTTTAGTTAACTGGGGTTGGAGCCAAAAGTCCTCAGCTGTGGCCTTGTCTTGTCCTTTGGAGCCCCATGGCTTCACCCACCATTACAGGCCTCAGTAGGGACCAGTGGCTCACAAGTAAACATGGAAAGCCAATTGGTTAATATAAGTCCTGCTCAGAGCTTCCACATAGTGGTCTCCATCAGCCATCATCAAGAAACAAACCAGTAACAAATGCTGGAGGGGCTGTGGGGAAAAGGAACCCTTCTCCACCGTTGGTGGGAGTACAGACTGGTGCAACCACTGTAGAAATCAGTGTGGAGATTCCTCAAAAAACTAGGATTAGAGGTTGCATTTAACCTAACTATTCCCCTTCTGGGTGCTGTCCCAGAAGAACTGAAAACATCATACCACAGTGATAGATGCACACCCATGTTCATAGCAGCACAGTTTGTAGCAGCCAGATCTTTAAAATCTTATATATAGATATTTTTAGGTAAGATGAGTTTCTTCTGGAAACTTCTGGGTAAATTGCTGATTGTGTCTGGGAAATGATACTGTGCTAAACAGAAAGGTCACTAATAAGAGTTGTATTCTTTTTTCTTTTAAGAGTTGTATTCTTATAAATAGAACCCTCTGTGTGCATTAAAACAGACACAGAAATAGAGTGTGGCACTGTACTTGCAAGTATGGGTAACCATTCAGAGAGCTAATGTTGCTGTTCAGTTCAGTTATAGCTATAGTCACTGACTTCTGGGGTGTCCAGACAGGCAAACGCTTAGGGGCACCCTTCACCCCCAGTTCACTCCCATTCTCTTCCAGTTATTTTTTTTCTCTTCCTATTTGTCTCTCCTTCCTCATCGTATTATTTCCCCCTCTGGATTCTCAGTTTGAGAGGGGAGCTAAATGTGCATTCAGGTCTTCAGATTACTTTGTGCAGAATGCATATCTTTAAAAATGCTCAGCAAAAAACCCCAAAGTAACTGAGAAGAGAAAAATCAAGGATGAACCACCATAAAAGAGGCAGTAATATTGTTTTCCATAGAATCTTGGCTGAAGAGATTTGGCGCACCGTCCATGTAGGTTTCTGCAAACTTTTGGGAAGCTAAATACAAACATCTTTGGTAACTGTTGAGCAAGTTACCAGAATAACAATTTCATAACTGCGCTAGATCCTTGATTTCAATGCTCTAAATGTTGTTTGCATGACACTAGCTGTGGGATCATGCTTTATATAGCTAAGTATTTTACAGTCCAGCTAAGAGAAGAAACACTAGCTGACATACAGTTTTTAAAGGTGCTATCTAAATATTATTGCAGAAATGTTGTCCAGGGGCATTTCTTCTAATAGATGACTGAAAGGTCAAGACCTTCCTTTTTGTAGCTTGGTGCAGAGTGGGCCAGGAAAGCCGTGTGGCAACTGAGTGTGCACCACAGGGAGAAAAGTGGTACAGAGAGGAACACTGCCACAAGCAGATGTGAGCACCTTCTGATGCATGAAAACGTGGCCAGGTTTCCTGTGTAGGCTTTCACGGGTATGTGGTATCCCAGGTGTGTGTACCTTATCCTGGATGCACCACTGTAGCACACACGCCTCTAGCCAAATTGTAAACACTAGAAGGAGCTTATTGTACAAATACCTAGAGAGCCATTTCTCTGAGTGCACCTCCCTAAACATTTACCTCTGTGATCTAGATCCATTGGGCTGCTAGATGTTTAATTACCCAAGTCTTTAAACTACCTGTGACAAATAAAAGCAATGGTAAAAACCTGGTTCAAGAACCTGGTACAATAGGAAGTCCTATTATAGCCAGAGGCGGGAGCTCTTTGTTAAGTGTGACATCCAGGCATGAGCTAAGTCACTGGGGAAGGCCATGTGTCTATAACTG